GATTAACTTTCTGACGCTGACATGTTATTCCTTGCTACTTGTAACAAGGTGAGGTATTCGTCTAACGACGAGGTAAAGAAAATGATTCGAGGTATGAAGCAAGATAAAGGTTTAGCGAATCGTTAATGGCCACACGCTTTCCGCGCTCAATATTTCCTACGCATGCAGACAATTGATGTTAAGAGTTCGATAACGACGGCACTGGAATGGGGGGATGTATAGTAACTGTGGGTTGTTTGGATTGAGGAAATGGAAAATTTTCAGTCGAAGTAGAGGATGCAAATAAAAATAAAAATTTATGCCGCTTATTCTTTATACGATTACCAACGAATATTATTTTTTCGTTAATCGTTAATTCCTTGTATGAGGTTATACGAGTTATCGTCATTCCTGTATTAAACTGTAAAAAATTATTCGCAATATCGATTTATAAATCCGAAGTCCTTATTCCAGATATGGGCAATTCACGATCGTAAAAGAATTCGTACCACGAGCTGTGGTCTCGTGTTATAAACCAATCTGTGAGCGCGGAAGCGATAGAAGCGATAGAAGCGTTTAAAAAATGGAAGAGAAATAAAATACGACGAAGAGATAAATTTTAAACGTATAGACGCGGAAATACTACAAATTTCGTCTAACAATGTTCACTTTTAAAAGTTACCGTTGAAATAACAAATATAGATGCATAGAGCATAACAGAATTTTATTTAAAGACGAGTTAGACGGATTAAAATTTACACCGAAGAAGGTAATACATTTTAGGAAATTATTTTTTGGGTACAAAAATTGCGGCGGAATATTTTACTTGTATTACATTTTTCTCACTGCGAAAACCAACGCAGTGATATACGAATGTTCCATAGTGGACTTCATAGATATTAGCCACTCAGGGCCACTGTAGAATAATCCTTACCACACCGTTTGACTATGTCAGCTATCCTTTCCCCAATTGTCTTATTCCATCCGACTATCTTCATTTTCTTTATCACAACGCATTTTTCTTCAATTGATTGCTTAAAAAGTGACCCTGAAAATTTCGTGAAATTTTGAACTAAGAAAGTTCATTTTCAAATATCCCGGAGGACAAAGAAATAATCCAAAACCTACTGAATTACCTGAAACAGTTTAAATTGTACAAACGAATCATAAACCTGACTCTGAATCGCTAATAACCCACCCAGTGGGTTTTAAACTCGGGATAAAAAAGAAAAGTTTATTTCTCATTAAACTATCGTAGGCAAGGTGGATTCCTATTTAATTTAACATTTTATTGCATTAAATAGAAAAATTTTATACGAAGATGGAATTAAATTGAGTAATAATATTGGAAATAACATGGAAAATTGAAGTTACTTTATCTGAAAATCTGACAACAAATATTTCCATTTCCTCCTTTTCAAAATTACAATGTTTATTATCCTAATCTTTTATTATCATAAAAATTAATGTTATTAATTAATTAATATTAATAATTTGTACCACTAATATACTACTAATTATTAATTTATTCCAAATTGTAATATTAAATATATTTAAATGCGAGCAATAAACGAATGAGTTATTATACGGACAAAGCTTCGATGACGCAACATTTATAGGATACGATTGCTATAGAATGCGGATAATCGAATCGTATCGTGTGTTTCGTTATAGTAAAAATTTTGACGTTTTGTTAAAAATATTTTTACAAAAATATTGTTAAAAATTATTTTATGTCACTGTAGCATATTCTAATTCTATGTATCACGATTCGTTCATATACACCTAAGTATGTCATTCACTATTCGCATAAGAAATATCAGGAGCGGTCTAAATTGTTTTTGATTTTTCTATCTAACAAAATGACTAAACATTAATGTTCGTATGTCTGCCGTTACATAGTAATATCTTATCTCCTTGACCTTCTTTTCACTAATAACATAACATCTATAACAGTATATTCACATAACATCCTTTTATTTTATCTAATATCAACAACTTTGACAGCGTATTTGAAAGTGTATTATAATTTCGTTGAATCTAGATAATTTTTTATTTCTCTTTATCAAAGGAAAATAAACGGAGATCTAACTTAAAGATCTAAATGGGATCTTCGAAGAACGAATACATTTCAAAAAATTACAGAGTAATACGAGCAAATTGAGGTCACAGAGAAACACAAAAAGTAATAGACCGTTCGTCCTCTTACGCTTTTGAAATAAACACGCAAGAATTTCTCGTCATAATTTTTCACAAATATGTAAATTCATTTAAACTTTTTAAATCGTAATTCGTGAACCTGCGATTACATCTTAACTTTAAAACCCGATAGAATAATGTTCTTATAAATGTACATGTAACAAAATCAAGAACAGAATATTACAAGAAAATATCCAATTAAAATTAATTAATAATTAATAAATAATTAAAATTTAAGAAATTATTGACTCTCGAGAATAGCATTTTTTATATTATTTCTATCTTTCTCTGTCATAAGAAGCGTGCAAACCGATTCTAATGTATTTAACCGAAATTTGTATTCTAATCCATTGGTATAGTGTAACCTAACATAATTCTTGTGTAGTTTCTACTAGTCATCATATTGTCGTTATTGCATGCGGTGACTAATCCATAGATTCGCTATGCTAATAGTTACAACTGAAATCACATGCTAACATCAATTTACGTCTATCGACTAACTTTCTTGCCGGTTATAAAAATTCAATGGTCAAACGATTAATTTTATAACTTCTGAAAATACTACAGAATATTAAACAAATTTTCGTTTGTACTAATTAACTTATAGAATAAATTTTTGTTATGTAACCTAAGCATGCACATTGAATTTTTCCTTCTTTCATTAATAATTATTATTATTCTCGGTGTATAATTTTCAAGTTCCTCAATATATTATTTACTGTTAGTACTGTTAAATACTTTCGAATTTGAATGCTAAAATAAAACAATAAAATGTGGTAACAATTTCTTACGTACTCGCCATACTAATTCTGCTTTCGTTCGGTAAAGATTTCAAGTGTTAAACTTGAAAAAATTTCAGAATATTACTGAAACGACTTTTCCATTTTCAGCAATTGGAAATTTTCTGTCGTTCGAGTTTCACCTCATTTATAAGGTATGGCGATACGGCAATTAATGGCATTCCTTGTTCCTGAAACCTTGGAGTGTGCACTCAAGGCTGTACGGAAGTCTTCACTACTTTCATCTCGAGCAACCAGTTTGGTTTGTCTGAAAAACCTGATCGTTTTATACGATGGAAGTCCAATATTCTTTGAATTGAAATAACATCGCTTCCCACAAATATTCTTCATTATGAAATGAAATCGAGCGATAAAGGCGGATTTCAAAAATCGAATATACTTGAATATAATGGAAAATATCGATACTATGAAACGAATGTTGCGAGTGAGGTTTTAATGAATGAAACTCATTTGTCCTATAATTGTGCAATGTGTTATATATATGTAATGTAACCGAGTGCCGTCTAGTGTGAATGATATTTGAAAAAATGTTTAGAAGAATGTGCGAGAATGAAACAGTTATCTGCGAAATATCAAGGAGCGAAGGCATAAATTTTATAGCTATGAAGAGTGAGTGAGTGAGAGAAGAAACTTCTGCAAAGAGTGTACCGATTCTATTATTTAAATAGTTAACTTAAATATATTTTTTTATTATTTAAATAGTAACTTAAATATATTTTGTGAATTACTCGTTTAAAAAGGTCTCGTATGTTATTGTCCATTCTATCTACGAATGTTACGTTAAATCTAGTTCGACTATCGATCTCTTTATAAATTATTATTAACAATAAAATATCTATTCGTGCCGTAAGATTACATTGTTCGGTTCAAAAATGGAAGCGTGATTGCAAAGTCATTCGTTGTATGAATAAGAAACAGATGGAGTGGCCGTTACATCATTCTTTTTACGAGATAACAATACACTTTACGTCTCCACTCGCTTCCAAATAAAAGATAATGCATTCTATAAGGAAATGTTGCCAATTCATACTATATAGTGATACTGTAAATAGATAATATTATCTTCAAAACTGCTTACTCGCGCAGCATTCCACACAAATATTTTGATGGTGTATGTGTATATACATATATGAATATGCATTCACACAAATGATCGAGTTATTTAAAGACGTATGAATTGTTTAACAATATTAAATAAAATTTAATTATTTTTTTATTTGCAATGTCTCAAATTATATCAGAGATAAAATGAGATTATTTATTAAACGATACATTTATATTATACGATTAATCTGAACAAACGAAAATTATATATTGATATACAATACAACAAATATTTATATTGAAACAAAATCTCAAATTATTTGCTATTTGTTCTCCAAATTTTTAATATTCAAATTATATAAAAATTGTATTTATTACGCATAAAACCGATATATCAATTCCTAATGAGTTTCGTTAGATCCTTATTCGTTTAAAACAATACTGTTACACAATTAACAATATAAAACAGTAACACATCGATTTAGTCGATACTTTCCGTTCTCACTGTACAACAAGATAAGATCTCTCCAACCTTAACTCACCTAATGAAACTGTGAAATGGAACTGAGAAAATATGAAACGGGAAAATAATAGACGTTATATGTCTTATATAGAAGCCTATTAACTAATATCTTTATATCAATGTTATATAAATTTTAAAAGGACAAAGCATCCTTTTTCAGTTGAGAAACACTTTTGCAGAAAATAAATCGAGGTATCCACGTTTTTCGAAACTTCTATCAAACAATGCATCCATCTTACAGCCTGTATTATTTGTAACAACGATTTATCATTTATTGCAATTCGTGAAGTGTACTCTAAAGAATGTAACGAACTGAAAGGTTTGGAATGGGAGAAGCAAAGGAGGTGACGTGTCTCCGTGCCACGACGCGTGTGTGTTCGTAACCGGTTGAAACCGTTCGAGCATGCGCACTGGTTCTGTATTCGGCGCTTGAAAAGGAGGACGTATGGCAGATATGCTGGCATTTATAAAGAGACTGGAGGGCTAACTCCCTTAGATTGTTCGCAATTATCTCGTGGTACGCAGTTGCAGAGCTCGTATCTCGATTTGCTTTACGTGCTCTCGCTTATCTGTCACAAATCATCATTGTTTTCGCTGTCTGAAGTTTCGAATATAACCGGTACGGAGTTTCGATGTTTCATCGGCTGTGCTTTCAGTTTCTGATTTAATGTGATTTTAATCACCAGCTGTGTCTTCGCCGGATAAAATACAATCCGTTTCACGTTCTAGCATAATTGATACTGAAAAGTCAAAGTTGACATGTTGCTTTGCAGCACGATTATCGAATTGATGCATGGCGGCAATAAACCACAAACTGGTAACACAAAATCTGTGCTTTTCTCGAATGTGACTGCAGATTCGAAAAATTGTGTATGAATAATGTATTGTGAATATTTACTATCGTAGTGATAAATTTGATTAATTTACTTTACGTAACAGATACATCGAATACGTTCTGTTTTAAGTGATTTAAATTTCTATATTTAACTATGTCTATTAAAATGTCCATTAATCAATTAGAATTAATACGTTATATTAATTTTATTACGTTATATAAATATATTCGAGGTAATGCCGAAGACCTGGACTCGTTCGAAATGTATGCAACTTTATAGATTATCTATTCAAAAATATTGACATATTTAGAAAAGGTGTCATAGGGAAACTTCGTGCTGATTTATCGGATTGAATAACGCGATACGGTTATTGACTTTAATTACGTTAACATGTGTATTAGCAACGATAAATTCATCGGTGAAACGGTGAACCTGCTGTTGCATAATGGAAATTTGTTTAGTAATTTCGTTGACCAAAAAACTATTACTTACTTAATTGTCACGAACTCTATACCGAGTCACGTCATTGTTATACAGATACACGAATATGCGTGTACTCGTGTGATTACGTACACATCGCGATAGGAAGTTATACAGTAATTTTCCAGTAACCTATTCTACGTCTCAATCGCCGCCATGTATCGTGAATTATTAAGAAATTTCTTCCACTTAACGTTTGTATTTTGATAATTGACTTTTTGTAAATATCGAAAAACAAACGTCTAAATTGATATCTATTTAGTATTTCTAATTTCCAAAAAATGACTAGTTTATCGTTAATATTAGTAATCGATGTAAAAGTCAAATGGCTTTAGCTATTTGTGATAAATTGTTGGAGTGATGTATCGCATGTCGTTGCAGAAATGCCGATCGATTTTTATCAACTTCCCGGAAGCGCTCCATGCCGCGGTGTTGCATTGGCGGCTGCCGCCCTTGGTGTCAAAATGAACTTCAAAGAAGTGGATTTGATGAAAGGGGAACATATGAAACCAGAATATTTGAAGGTACCAGTGAATAATATGTTTAGTATAATTGTTCTATATTTTTATTTATATTTAATATCGAATGAAATACAAATCGAATTGTTATACCTAAATTAAATATTCTATATATTGGATCATGTAATTATCTATTAAATATACAAGTAATATATAAGAAATGTATATAAGCTTATGTGTTGTATTTGAAAATAATATATTTGTTGTAAATAGTTGTGAATAATTATAGGTTTAAAAGAAATTCCAAAGGATCTATTTAATATTCTAATGTAGAATTGATGTAATTATTTATTTTTATTTTTCTCGAGAAGTTATTAATTAAATTTTAAAGTTTGTATAAAACATTTGCAAAGTTTACATGAAATATTATTTCATCGCATTGTAAGCGTAGAATTTACTATCACCTCACTTTTTGAAGTTCTCAGTCTCGTGACATTGCTTATAATTTATTTCCTGAAAACAAATGTTGTTCTTACCCTTTTGTAAAACTATATCTTTATATTTTATGTTAGTTTAAGTAAGTTACCCTTTGAATTAAAATGTGACATTTTATGGTAAATAAACATCTATTTCTACTTGGATAGCTCTAAAAGTTATAAATTTATAAACTGTAGAGCAACAAATAACTGGTTTTTGTTCATTTCCTTTTTAAAAAACAAAGAAAGATTGGCTTAACTCTATAATTATTCACATCGTTATATTTTTCATAATCGATGATCTAATTAATGATTGTTTCTACACAGATGAACCCACAACACACGATACCAACAATTGACGACAACGGTTTCTACTTATGGGAAAGGTAAAATTTACTTAATTGTATTATTCATACTTTAAAATATCGAATAATCTTGTTATTAATATCTAAAATATAAGATTATCGTTGACTTTATTGACTTTATTATTAGCTATAATTAAATTCGATATTTATTCTATCTCATACAAATGATAAAAGATAAGTTTTTGACATATTTAAAAAAATAAGATATCTTCTATATACAGTATTTATAAACTGTCTAAAATAGGAAGCATTACAAATTTCTAAATATGAGTATACATTTTGAACGAATAGTATTTTATTTAATTAAACTCAAACATCAAGGAATAAAATAGTTTATAAGGTTGGAAATATTCATTAGCAGTTTGCTAATTTTCCTTTCTATTTACCATTTTTTATTAAATTAACCAAAAATAGCCGGTTTTTTAAATAATGCAGGAAACCTCATAAATTTAAAAATAAAAATGAAATTTTAAATTGTCCACTAATAGACATAAAAGAAGTAAATTTTTATAAATATAAATTAATTACAACTTCCAAATTAGTATCTCCTTGATTGATCATTTATATAGACCTTTCTACATTTTTTACGTCTAAATATGTCCTTACTTCATACACATATATTCGTTATTTATTTCTACACGATATTTAATTATTTTATTTCTTAACAATAATCTTAAGTTTAAATTTTTGATAAACTCCAAATTTACAACTTTTATCGTATAAATTAGCATCAAACTTCTCACGTATTAATGCTTACACGTATGTTTACTTTATAATTTGGAGCAAAGACTATAGCTAACGTTTATAAATAGAAACTTGTAAACTTAACGCATATTCTCTTCCTTCTAGTCGAGCTATTATGACATACTTAGCTGATCAATACGGCAAGAACGACTCATTATACCCAAAGGATCCGAAAAAACGTGCAGTCGTAAACCAAAGATTGTATTTCGACGCGTGTACCTTGTATAAAGCATTTTCAGATTACTTCGTAAGTTACACAATTATTTTATAATATTTTATTTCGCAATAAAAAGAATTTCTGTATTACAAATATATCCTTCTTTTTTATCGAGTAAAATATTACTGAGCATTATATCAACTAGTTTCCTCAGTTTTTACATATCTTATATCTAGCATTCATAAATTATTTATTTATTTTTATTAAAGTGAACGGCAGTATGCAAATTATTTACTTGTTTAATCTAATTTCATTTGAAGTTATGTTTCTACCAAACTTTTCGTTTTGAAATGTAAATCAACCAAAGAATTAATAGTGGTGAAATTTCTTCCTAGTACCCTATGATTTTCGCCAAAGCCCCTAAGGACCAAACGAAATTCGAAAGTATTGGCACGGCCCTTTCGTTCCTTGATCAATTCCTCGAAGGACAAAACTATGTTGCCGGAAGCAACATGACACTTGCTGACCTTAGCCTTACAGCCACCATTTCTACATTAGAGGTAAACATATCTAATAATATTATATTATCGAAATTCCTTTTATTTTATATGCATTGCGTATTCCAATCTACTTTTTTCGACTTTAATTTTCCACATAATTTCTACATTTTTATTAAACTACTTCTCAACCTTCTCTTCAATTTTACGCTTTTAGTTAGACACAAAAGTAAATATTATACTTGATCGTCGAAAAACAATTATAGTTTCTATTGCAATTACCAATATAAAATAGAAATACAAGAGAATTTTACATACCTATATAAAAGTACTATGAGACATGATCTTAGCCTTGATTACTGTTAGAATTGGATACAAAAGAGATAAAATACTTGGGCATGTATAAACGAATCGATGAACTCAGCTGTACTCTAATTTATTATTTATTCTTTTCAATATTTACCAAAACGGTGAATAAAATTAAATAGACTATAAAATTAATGATTTATTAATTTTTCCAAATTTTATCAGAAATTTCAGCACGGTAGATGACTTTAAAATTAAATTCATCTTAAATTTAATGTTTTTCTACCAGCTGCCAATGTGATAATTGAGTAAAATAGCTAAGTGACTAAATTAAGCATTAAGCATGGAGAGTACTCTTTCAAACAGCTTCCACATTTACGTTTTGTAACAAAATGCAATACGCGAATTATATTAGAAACTTCAAGAAAATACTTCTTCTAAAATAAGATACAAGTGTTGAGAACGTGTGACTGAAGTTATTAAATATCTGACAACAAATATGAAAGTTGCGAAACATTAAACGTGAATATTTAGATATATAACGATTACGAAGATCAGAAAAATATTCATATACATAAAAGTAAAAAAACATCGATATGGTAGTTAATGACTATTCAATTACGAACGTTGTCGAGTGTTCGTCATGTGTGCAATATGTATGAAACTGACCTACATTCTGAAGTTAACCTTGTTTTAATGATAACTCGAATTGTCAATGGTTCTGAGAATTATCGTGTTTTTAATTCTTACCTTGAAATGTTCTCTCAGCTGTGACAGTTAAATAACTGCTATAAACCTAGATCGTTCTAATGCCTTGACTTGATATATTTTTATCTTTTTTATTTGGTACAAAATTATTAATTACAAATTCTTTATTTTTACAGTTACTAGAAATACATAGCTATTTTT